AGAGAGAGAGAGAGAGAGAGAGACAGAAGTGCAAGTGCCTCTGTCTCTGTCTCTCTGTCTCTCTCTCTCATGGGACTTGCCGGAGGGCCGTGGGAGGGCCGCATTTATATAGAGCAGGGAGGGCTGCTCGAGGGCCGGATTAAACCGGGCCGCGGGCCGCAAATGGCCCGCGGGCCGGACTTTGGACATGTCTGGCATACAGCTTGATGTTATCCATTTAGAGGAGGTGACTGATAATAGTTCCACTCTTGAACTTGTATCTGTATCTAGTCTTTGTGATTATCTGGCTGAAGGTTTTCAAGACTATGCAGAACAGTAAGGGGAATAGTGCGTTGCCTTGATAATTGCCACACTTGATGGCCACTTGGTGTGAGCTGTCTTGAGTTGACTTCCGATGTTATTTTCCATAGTCCCGTTGAGTTCTTAAGGAAGATCTTTAGTATCCTGTTGACTATATATATAGCGCCAGGCATTCACAGATCCATGTGTGTGTCATTGAGTCAAAGGCTTTTCCTGTAGTCAATCCAGGCTGTTTTCAGATTGATCTGTCTAGACCTTGAGTCTTGTGTGACTACTCTGTCTCTGAGCAACTGATGTTTTGAGCCTCCGGTGTTGTTCCCAGTGCCATTCTGAGCTGTGCTCATGTACTGGTCCATATGGTCCTGTGGCTTGGTGGTTATGATGCCTGATAGGACTTTCCATGTTGTGGGGAGGCCAGTTTTCAGCCGTCAGCTGACAGAACTATTCCTTTGTGGTGGTCTTTCATGATCAGCACTGTCCTTCCTTGTGTTAGTCTATCTGGGTGGGAGCTTGCTGCTAGTAGTTGGTTCATCTGTGCTGTTAGGCATTAATGCACTGCTGTTAGTTTCTTTAACTAGTAGATGTGGATCATGTTCAGCCCAGGTGCTGCCCAGTTTTCATGTTCTTGATCTGCTGTTTGATGTCTGCTACTGTGATTGTGGGTGGTTCCTGTTCTGGGAGATTGCTGTGATCTGTTTTCAAGTCCTGCAGCCACTTTGTACTAGTATTATGTGTCTTCTCTTTTTCCCATATGTTCTTCCAGTACTGTTCAGTTTCTGCTGTTGGTGACTTTGCTTTTATTGTGTTATTGTACTGCAGTTGGGAATACATCTTGGATGGTTCTTTGGAGAACAGGGCATTTATCTTATTGGCCTCTGCTTCTCTAGTGTATCTCCTTAGTTTGGTAACCAGTCCTATGAGTCTTTGTTTAGTACAGTATCTGAGTTGCTTTAATTTTAGCTTTTAATCTCATTTTCCGGGGAAGTTACGTACTGTTGTTCTTGATCATATAACCAAGCATCTCCAGGATTACAGCTGTAGCATATACCAATTCATTGGTTTGAGTTACAGTGGGGCTCTGTTGGCATTTTCTAGCATACTGACTGATGGTACTTCTCTCCTATGTCTTGAGGGTTGGCGGTAGCTAATTTGTCCAGGAACTTATATCTCAAAAGGCAGCTGTGTTTTGTAATGAAGGGGGAGGCAGTGATGTTGGCTGCACAATATGTGGCTGCACATGTGATTGTTTTTCCAGGTCATCTTGAGTCCAGTATGTAATGTATAGTTGGTCTATCTCAAGTTGTGAGAGCAGCTTTCTCTTCACTATTTTGAAGCATTGGTAAACTAGCTGTTTCTCCATGAATGTGTTTGCAGGTTTTCCATCCTTCTATAGTTCCCTTATACGTTTCATATATCCCCTCTCTCATTTGGTTTACTGTTATGGTAGAGTGCTATCAATTCCAGGTTCTCTTGTCTAGTCCATGCATGATTTGTTTCAGTAGCCCACTTATTGTCAGATTGTCCTATTTTCCGAATGTCTGATGCAGACCTTGTTAATCTGCATGATTCTCTTAGTTTAGGTCATTCTGATATTTGAAGTAGGCAGGTGAGGTGTTAGGGGTCCTTAGCAAGGAAGGTACCACTCAGGATTTGAACCTCAGTCTCCTGCATCAAAGACTGGTGCTCTAACCACTACGCTATCCAGCTATCTGTCACTGCGCATGCCTGAAGATGGCGGACGTCCGTTCGTAGCTCCGCAGTAGTGGAGACCGAAAATGGGCAGAGGGGAGCCTTGGAGACCCCCGAAGGTCTGGAGACCCGTCTGGAGACCCGTCCCCAGGTTGACTTCCCCCCGGTGAGTTCCCCGGGAATGCGAGGGGACGTGGGAACGTGGAGCCGACCGGGTAGCTGTTTGTCGGCCTGCCCGGCCTTTCCGTCCCTCGGCGGCCTCGGCGGCCTCGCTGGCGGTTTCTCCAGCGACCGGCGGTCTCTCCAGCGACTGGTGGCCTCTCTCAGCCTCGGAGACATTTTTGACGACCTCGGCGGTTTTTCCAGCGGCCCTCTCGGAAACGGCATTGGTCGCGTTGGTTAATGATCTCTGGAGGGCCCGGGACAGAGGATATTCCTCTGTCCTTGTTCTTTTGGACCTCTCAGCGGCTTTTGATACCGTAGACCACGGTATCATGCTGCGGCGTCTCGGTGGGTTAGGAGTGGGAGGCACCGTTATGCGGTGGTTCTCCTCCTTCCTCACCGACCGTACGCA